ACTTGCAGCTGAGTGTCGCCTTTATATAGCAGTCGGCTGCTCGCAGACGAAAGCGTAGAAGCATCGAATTGTTCGCTATGGAAGGTTCTTGTTTTATCGTTTCTAGAACGTACTAGTTATCGGCTTCTCTCTTTCATCTGACATTCGCCTCGCATTTTCGCAACAATATATTTATTTTTAAATAATTTATTTTTTAAATAAAATTTATTTCAGAAAAGCTTTATGATTGAAAACGAATATCATAATAATTCAGAAAATGAAAATATTTGAAACTTAAAATAGGAAGTTTCAAATGTTAAAGTAGAGTACATAAACAACACGAAAGTTAAATCATTTTGAATTTAGTCCTTGAAAACAATTATAAAAATTCAAACAAACTAATTTTTTAGACAAAGTAATTATTTTTATTTTGATGGTGTGTTTTTCGGCCATTGCGGTCACCAGTGGGGAGTTCTCTTTGAATTAAACGCAATTATAACACACAAGCATATTAAACACAGCCAATTGGCCATTGGCCTGCCAGCTGATATTTGAAAATGAAAACAACAAAAGAAAAGTGAACACTGAAATTTAAGTATAATATCCTTTTATTAATTTAAAAAATTGTTTAAAGTTAAAATTACAATAAGTTCCATGGTAAGAGGAAGTGTAGAGCAATAGTTAGTTGTAAACAAAAGGCTTGCTCTAAAAATTTATGGAACACCGCATCTCTTTCTCTTCAAACTGTTCCCACTTCAACTAGTTTCGCTAAACAGCTGATATTCAGCTATTTTGACATTTTGGACAAGCAATTTTATATACACATAGATTTTAAGGGCCACGACAAATTCTGAGTGCTTTACAGTTCACACCCTTCACCTGCTCGTATGGAAATCACGAACCAGTCGAAAGCTACTTCGCCCCACTTACCCACCGCAATCTTCGTTGCCGATCTTCACGTTTTCTTATTTGCAACCCACAACGGTGTGGCGATACAAATCGGGCTATAATCTTTAGTCAACACGGACGGTAACACACAAAAGTAAGAAGTATATACCAGAGAACGTATGTGAAATTATTTGACGTTCTCTGGTATATACGTACACAAATTATTGACAAGTTCACTGTGTGCTTGGTGTGATTTGGTAATTTTTCTTTACTTTGCTACGCGCCCGCTGTTGTATCATCTTTGTCGACGTTCTCAACTCTGAGAAGCATCAGCTTTCACATAACGCTGTTCTTAATTATATTTTCAGTTTGTTTGAGCGTTTCTGTCGCCCGGTTGAAATTCTGCTAAACGTCATCAAAACTTATTACCTAATCGAAAGAAACATGTCTGTGTTCGAAAGTGTAGAAAAAGGGCCAGCCATTGAAGTGTTTGCACTGAATCGTGCTTTCCTGGATGATACTGCTACCAAAAAGGCTAATCTAGCTATAGGTGGTAAGTTGCAAACGGTGCTTGGCTAAGTGTGAAACTCTTGTATATACATATATTGTTGAATGCACGCGAAGCAACAATTGTCTTAAAACTAAACGATTCTACCAACAAAATAAAAAGGGAAATTTTTCTTTGTAAAAAATGTAGAATCTTAAAACTAAATTTGAATGCCTACGTGTATGTTTTGATGTTACGCGCATAGTTTTTCATTTAGAGCTCTGCTTTATTCATATTTCTCTATGAATTTGCCAAAGGTCAATTTAAAGGTCATATGTACTACGCGTCATATACTCGTAATGATAAAAAGCCGTATAGATTATATTTGTTTATGAAATTTTTTATAGTTTTGTGAAAACATTAATTTTACACTAGAACAAGTGTGATTAACAAAATAGTGTTTCAGGAATCAAGGGGTGTTCTCAAATTTGACTAGATGTACATGTGTATGTATGTATTTATGTATAAATGAACATTAAAGTTACTAAAGGGTGATTTGTGCTATAAGAAAGTTAAAAGAAGCACATAAAATTAAAAAAAAAACATGAAATATTTATTTGAATTGATAGTGGTGGTCCATCCGCTTAGTCGAATTTTGGGATACTCTTTCCAACATTTCGGCCGGTATCTTAAGAATAAAAGCATTAAAGTTATCCTCCAATGCGTCAGTTGAAGCGGGTTTATCTGTATAGACATTAGATTTAATTTTAACAAAAAATAGTCCAAAGGCGTTAAACCGCACGATCTGGGGGGTCCGGTCCCAAACGTGAAATAAAATTCTCACCGAACTCGCCTCTCAATAAGTCTATTGTTACGCGTGCTGTGTGGCATGTGACACCGTCTTGTTGAAACCACATGTAATGCAAGTCAAGCTCTTGCATTTTGGGCAAAAAAAAGTTTGATATCATTTCACAGTTACGTTAAAATTCGCATCATCATGAAGAAGTACGGTCCAATGATGCCATCACCCCATAAATCGCACCAAACTGTGACCTGGATGCATTGGTAGCTCTTTGCAATGCTTCTGGCTGATCTTCACTCGACAATTTTGCTTATTTACGCACCCATTAAGCTAAAAATGAGCGCGATGAACATTCTTAACACAGCACGCATTTTGATAATAAATATCAATACCCCCTGCGGGTTAGGGCCTCAAGAATTTACCCGCGGTAAGGCATGCCTGTCGTAAGAGGCGACTAAAATCTAATAGTTCCCGCGATAGTCGGGTCTTTATACCGGATCGACCCGGATTTTATCCGGCCAAGGACTGTCACTCCCGCAACATTCCCCAAAAAGTACTTTGGGGAATAATTGTGCGGTTACAAAAACAACAACAACAACATAATAAATATCAATGAATTGCAAGCGTTGTTCATTTGGAAAACGATTCATGGTTAAATTATAGGCCAAACTAGAGATGTTTGAGAGTGATACAAAACACGAAACGTGCATCAGCTGTTTAAACTAGTGTTCCCAAAAAGATAATAGCTAAAAAAAAATCACCCTTTATAGGCAAGTAAAATATAATATACGCTTTCTTACCGGCTTTTGAAATGAATCGCATTGGTTCTCAACGAGTATAATAATCAAAACAAACAAAATGCAACCGGTTATTTTAATTTCTTTTAGTATTATTGTTGTATTTTAAATGTATAAAGCGGAAATGAAATGCATTTGTGTAAAACCGTTTTATGAATAAATTTATACACTTAAAAATTAAAATATGAGCTACGCAAAAAAATTTGTAGCACAAATTAAAGTTAAATTAAGTGCAAGTATTACATAAATCACTTCCAGTATTGATAAGCTCACAAAATTTTGTCCAGACAAATTCTTGAAAATACATTTTTAAAACCGCCAGTGTTGCCGCTAATTCAATCATTTTCTTTTCTTAATTTCCTTAGAATTCTAACGTAGGTCAATGCACCTTTTATGAACATTAAAGTTAAAACGCTAATTCACAAATGTTCATTTAGATAGCTGAACAGCAGTAAGAAGTTAATTGCTTGCAAACAAAGGTCCAATAGTGTTTTAGGAATCAAGCTGTATTCTCAAATTTATAATAAATGAACATTAAAGTTACGGTGATTTGTTAAGAGCTATAAGAAAGTTAAAAAAACACATAAAATTAAAAGAAATCATGAAATCTTTATTTGAATTGATAGTAGTGGTCCATCCGCTTAGTCCAATTTTGGGATCTCTTTGATTTTTAAATAAATAAATTTACTTGTATGTTTAACATACTCGTATTAGGGTGCATTTTAAAGTTACGTACATACATACAGATGTCATGAGAATATGTATTTTTTAGATGTTTGTAAATATATACCACTACAATAATGTATAATAAAAGACTGTGAAAATTTTCTTCGCCGTCACAAAACTTAATTTTGGATCTATAAGTAAAATACTTCAATAATTTGCACGTATGCAGAAATGTTTTTGCATGTACATATATATCATATGTATGTGCGTATATTTAATAGTATTTATAGATAGAAAAAAGCGTACATATATATGTATATTAGAATGTACTTATGTGAGAGCTAAACATATTTTTTGGCATTGAACTTGAAAAAGGCATTTGAAAACGCTGAAAAATTAAGTAAAAAGTGAAACAAAAAAATTAAGAAAATTCCCAAGTAAATAAATTTGCATGCAAGTGATAACCACTAGGGTGTGCACTTTTATTTTTCATATGCAAGGGCTTATGTACATATTCCTTACTGCTTAAATTTATTTTATATTGAAAATTATCATTTATTTATTGAGGTAGGAACGTATGTACATATCTAAATGGATGCGGTTTGTTTGTTATATTTATTTTCACTGTTCACAAAACAGGTGTACCAAAATATTTTGCCAACTGGTTATAAAAATTATTTATTTCGTAAAAGTTTTATTAGTGTTCTTTTTTGCGTTTTATTGTGTGCGAAGATGGTTGTAAAGTAATATCAGTACATTTGTGTTTTGTCTTTTATAATTTGCTTTCATTGTAGTATATAAGGATTTTCTATATTAATTGAATAAAATTTTTGGTTAAGAATCAACATCCTTAATAATTTTCTTACTACTTTCCATGATGTTTGATAGTCTAACTTAGTTATCTTCAGGACATTGATTTTGTCTGCTTGTAAATTTTCTTTTAGTTTTATTTTAATATTTCTTATAATAATTACTTATTTAATACTGTTATATAATATTTAATTTTTTTAAATCTAGTTTTTTTTTTTTGGAATTAGTTATTCAAATGACGTGTGTTCGTACTTCAAAAATGCAATTGCGCAATTGTGCACTCAATAGATGTATAAATTAAGCCATTTATACATTTTAATATTTAATATACTGCAAATACAATTACATCCATCGCGCACGTGGTCACTTGTCTATTTTATATCATTATCACAATGCTTTTAATTGGTTATCTTGCAACACTCAGCTTGAGCTTAGTTAAAAACTTTCATTCTAAATTGCTTTTAGTTTGTTCTAGCATTGTTGTAGTACGGTTGTTATTAAGTTTCAAAAGTAAATGTATTAATTTCGTTATTGTTATTTCACCGAAAAAAAAACCATGTTGTCCTGTTTTAGTAAAGTTAAAAAAGGGCCTATAATCGAGGTATTTGCCATGATGAGAGCCTACTTGGAGGACAAAGAACCTAAAAAAGTAGATCTTGGCGCAGGAAGTATGTGGGTGACGTAAAAAAAAACAAAATAAATATACAAACATACATATAAATATTGTTTAAATAAGATAGTGTTTGTTTTTTTACTTCTAATTTCAATGCTGTTTTATTAACATAATTTATTTAAGCTTTTCTGCTTTCTCTCAGTGGGGGCTGGGGGCAAGAAATTGTGCAACAATTTCATTTAAGAGTTAAAAGAAAACATTTGAAAAAGCTATCACTTCAGTGTGAAAGAGCGAAGTAAATATTATCACGGTATTGTTATATAGATGTACTCAAAGTGACGATTAGATACAAACGATAAGCTATGTGCACAAATATATATACAATTATGTAAGTATATGTTTTTTAAGGGGTATGGCCACAGTAGAATTTTTTAAAAATCGTTTTTTTTTTTTTGCTTAAACGATGCTTTATAGTCATAAAAATGATATGCCATTTAACTCAGAATGAAATAATCATTTTTGACTGATTGGAGGTGTATATCGAAAGCCCACCTCCGGCTCGGCTAACTTATATGTGAAACTTTAAACGCGTTTTTCTCGAAACACTTTTTTTTTGAATTGGCGTGACAAATAACTTATTCAATTTTGATCCGATTGACTTCATGTTTATTTTTGCATTCTGCAAGGAAGTACGTAGGGGATTTTCCATTAATCAAGAAGGTTTTTTGTTATGACTAGTTCATTACAGAATTATTGATTAAAAATGCACGTTTTCTGTTCAAATCCCTATAATTTCCATAAAAATCAATATTTTTGAAATCCCCTACGTACTTCTATAGCTATTGTCATGCAGATTAACGACATTTTTTTGTTTTGTTCCAGGACAAGTATTGTAGATGCAAAATGTCACGCCGTGGAGCGCTTTAGAAAAATGGATGAAAAAGAGATCAGAAATATCGGCCATTTTGTGCCGGAAAAAAAATCTAAAAAAATAGTTTCTCATGAGCTTTATATCCGAACTTCATCGGTATGTGATTATTTTCATGAATAAATAATAGTTTCATACAAAAAAAAATATTAAATTTGCACAGGTTTTTTTTTACCCGCTACTGTGGCCATACCCCTTAACAAAAAACGACACAAAAAAAACAACTAGAAAGGAAATTATCAATTTTTAAAACCAATAACTGAAAAGCTAAAAAGAATATATTGTTGTTGTTAATTTAGTAGTCCTTTTTGCAAGTATTGAAAATATTTAAATCATATTTTTGTATGTCATTTTTTAGTACTTCATGATCGTTTTCCCTAATTCAATTTCATAATCTAATCTTTTTTAGCCTAATTTTTATATGCCAAGTGAATTATGAATTTTTTTATTTAATAAATTTTATTAATATTTACACTCGCTGTTACGTCAATTCGTGTGTATTGAAAATGTTCAAAAGCAATTTCATTTTTTTTTTATATTTTGCAACATTATCAAGCAGTTGCGCCAGGTGTGTACGAATTTTACTGCATTTTAATTGTTTTTTTTTTTGTTATTAACTTTTTCTCCCATGAAATATTTGAGCCGTTGGCCAACTGGACCGTCCGTCAGCTGTTTATATTAACATATTTTTTTATTATTTTCTTCTTTTTTTTTGTGTTTTTTATTTACTGATAAGCAATGTGTGTACAATACATATTTACATTTATGATTACGCAAATTATCCGCTCAATTGACAAGCAAAAAAAAAATCCAACACAGCCACCAAAAGCATTTAGCAACAATTTATGGTGTTCCATTAACGTCATGTACATAGTTATGTATGTACAATACACAACAAAATATTGGCACATACAAATTCGTGGAACTATAAATATAGCCTGAGCTGATGCGCTTATACGATATGTATATACTATATACTCGTACATACATACATATGCATAGAATTTACTATTTTTGTGGTAATTCTGAATGTCATCTCATCTCAAGGGACTCTAGCTTTAAGAAAAATAGAAAAAAATTAGTTTGAATAAATACCTCCAATGTTGCAATATCAATTATATTTTTTATTGAAGATTTTTTTCAGTTCGAAATATCAATTATATTTTTTATGAGCGTTATGGATTGTACGTTTTTTTTAACGGTATCAGACTTGATAAGCATTAACGTCATAGCTATAGTGTGATTAAATTGTGAAGATTAAATGAGCTAGTTGTTGAAGGAAAGTAGTAAACAAAATATTTAAGCTTATTTTCATATACAGCTTTAATTTTTAATTCTTTAAACAGCAATTCGTTCAATAACTGGAAGTGTTGCTAGGCTTAAAAAGTTGTTATTTACCACCTCTTAATAAAAATGTAACTAATCTGCAGGAATTTCAAAGTGATCATTTAGCCAAATTTAAATTCAATTTATCTTAAGTTAATCTTGCTGTCCCATTGGGTTTCCATTTACCTTGCTCCCAGCAAAAATTTGTTTACTAAAATATTTTAGCATTTTAATAATAAATATTTGAATATTTATGAACTGAAAATAATAGCAATATATTAGTCGATCGTATATTTATAACTTTGTCTAACAGTAACTGTTGCATATTGAGCTATTTTATACTGAATTTTCTTATAAGTCATGTATACGTTAAATTTTTACTTTCATTTGCACTTTTTTAAACCAACTTTGAAGTGCCGCCCGACCATCCGTTCGCACAACACAACTCATTAATGTCAAACATCTGTCAAGGCGGTTAATAAAAGAAATATATAGTAAAAAAATAAATAAAAATAAACGGCAAATGTAAATGTAAATGTAAATAATCAAACAAGTGCATCACGTGTGCAACTATAGCTACATATGTATGTATGTACATACTCGGATGTATTTATGTATGTATTTTAATACGACTCTTTCTCATTTGCCATTCATTCTTTTTATGCAACAGATTTCTATAGCCATTTGAATACTGCCATTCATAAATAATTTGAATTCACACACATGTAGACATAAATATATATATATATATATGTATGGATATGTGGGTAAATTTATTCATCTTTCAATTGGGACTATAAAATAAAAGATGCCCCTATAAAAGGGCAAATTTTTTGTAATTAGTATTATTAAAATAAGTAAGCAAGAAAAAATAGCAAAGTGGTGGTGTTAGTAGTTGTTGTTCTTATAATAATAATTAATTACTATTTAAATACGCAATAGAATTTAATAAACAACAAATAAAAAAATTATTAGAAAAAGCAAATAAACCTTAAATATACTAACTATGGGAAAATAAGAGGAAAAATCTAATTTCTTTAAAAATTAAAAGCCAATGCAAACAGAGGAAATCCATTAATGCGATACAAAATAAACATGATTTTGAGAAATATATTAGTTAATTTTTTATAATTTTAATTAATTTGAACATATTTGCTATGTAAACCTTTTATAAAGCAATTATAAATAAATTTAAATATCTTTTACAATTATTTCTTCTATTTTCCAGCTTACCGCACGAATGAGGGTAAGCCATGGGTCTTTCCGGTGGTGCGTAAAACAGAGATTAAAATTGCCAGCGATGATACAATCAATCACGAATATCTACCAGTATTGGGTGAGTATAAAAACAATTATAAAAATACATAGAATTGAACAAAAACAAAAATAAAATAAAGCAATAAAATAATATAAAATAATTGTAACGAAATACTTAAAATAATTTGAAATGAAATTAAATAAAAATTTAATACAAAAAGGAAAAGGAAAAGTTAAAAAAAAAACAATAAAACGAGAACGAAAATTTAAATAAAAAAAATAAAAAGAGAAAGAATAATTAAATAAAAAAATAAAAAGAGAAAGAAAAATGAAATAAAAAACAAGAAAAATAAACAAAAAAAAACCAAATAAAAAATGAAATAAAAAACAAGAAAAAAAAATCAAATAAAAACGAAAAATCAAATAAAAAAGAAAAATCAAATAAAAAATGAAAGAAAAATAAAAAATATAAAGAAAAATAATAATAAAAAAAGACTAATAAAAAATAAAAGGAAAAAAAAATAAAAAAAAAATAAAAAAAAAAATAAAAAAAAAAAAAAAAAAAAAAAAAAAAAAAAAAAATAAAAAAAAAAATAAAAAGAAAAATAAAAAAAAATTAAAATACAAAATATAAAGAAAAAAAAAATTTACAAAAAATTAAAAATAAAAAAAAATTAAAAATAAAAAAAAAATTAAAAATAAAAAAAAATTAAAAATAAAAAAAATTAAAAATAAAAAAAAAATTAACAATAAAAAAAATTAAAAATAAATAAAAATTAAAAATATAAAAAAATAAAAATTAAAATTAAAAAAAAAGAAAAATTAAAAAAAAAAAAATAAAAAAAAATTAAAAAAAAAAAAAAAGGAAAATTAAAAAAAAAAAAAATAAAAAGAAAATTAAAAAAAAAAATAAAAAGGAAACTAAAAAAATAAAAAGAAAAATGAAGAATAATAAAAAGAAATATAAATAATAAAAATACAAATAAAAAGAAATATAAAAAAAAAATATGAAATAAAAAAAATATGAAAAAAAATAAAATGAAAAAATAAAAAGAAAAAATAAAAAGAAAAAAAGAAAATAGATAAACAAAAGAAAAAATAAAATGAAAATAATAGAAAAAGAGAAAAATGAAATTAAAAATAAGAATAAAAATTAAATAAAAAGAAATAAGAGGAAAAGAAAATTAGAATTAAAAAAAAATAAAAAATTAAATTAAAAGAAATAAGAAGAAAACAAAAATTAAATTTAATAAAAAATTAAATAAAATGAAAAAGGCAAGGTAGAAATATAAAAATAAATAAAAGAAATAAAAAAAATTAAATAAAAATATAAAAACGAAAATTAAATAAAAAAAGAATAGTGAAATAAAAAAATTAAATTAATAAAAATAAATCAAGAAATCAATACAAAACAAACTAATTTAATACAAAAATTAAATGAAATAAAAAATTAAAAATAATATAAATATTTTATTAATTAATTAGACTCAGCTTATCTGGTTTGGTAAGTGCAAATAAAACTAATTTATTTCACTTTTTGTCCAACGTTTCGCTAAATAATTTAGCATCTTCAGGGGCTCCTGTTTCTTTATATTGAATAAAAAAAATTTAAATAAACACATTTTAGTATATACATACATACAAACTGAATAGTTGAACAAAGAAAACTTACAAATATCAAAAAGTTTGAAATTATTTAAAATGCAATATTACAACCATATGCTTAACAAAAATTAATAAAAATAATTAAAATAAAATGAAAAAAACAAAAAAAAAAAGAAATATAAATAAATAATAAAAAAGTAATAAAATAAATTTACAAACAAAAAAAAATAAATTATTTACATTTAAAAAATAATGTCATAATAAGATGCATTTCAGAATCATAAGACATTTTAACAATTCTACTGTAGAAACAATTCAAAATCAATAAAAAACTCATCATACACTATTGCATTTATCTCCTTCTGACACACCGTTACTGGCATCAAACTTATAGGTGAGTGGAAATAAAATAAAATAAAATATAAATTATAGCAAAATTAAATAAAAATAATAAAATAAAATAAATATCTAAAATAAAACAAAATAGAAAATTGAACAAAACGAAATAGCAAAAAATAAAAAAAAAAATTAAGTTAAAAAAATTTAATAACAATAAAATAAATTTAAAAAAAGAAATAACACCCAATTTTGAACATCACCCAACCATCAATTGATCTAAATTTTTCAAAACAATACACTTGATTTGACTAATTCACATCGTTTAACTTTAATTAAAGGCAATGATGCATTTACAAAGGCCGCCGTAGGCTTATTGTTGGGTGAGAATTCAGCCGCTATTGCTGAAAAGCGCGTAAGTAAAGTGCACTCAAAATTAAATTATCCTTCAATTCGAAAATTTACAATTTTAATTTTTTTCTTTAACCTCTCTTCAGGCTATTGGCATTCAGACACTCTCCGGCACAGGCGCTCTACGTATTGGTGCACAATTTCTGCGTGTCATTCTTGATCGCCGCGTAGCTTATTATTCAAATCCCACATGGGAGAATCATCATAAAGTATTTTTGGATGCTGGTTTTGAAACACTACGCTCCTACCGTTATTGGGATCAAGAGAAACGTAAAATTGATTTCGAGGGTCTTTTAGCTGATTTGGAGGCGGCGCCTGAGGGTGCTGTTATCATATTACACGCCTGCGCACACAATCCCACCGGCTATGATCCAACACAAGAACAATGGAAACAAATTGCCGATGTTATGGAACGCAAGAAACTGTACCCATTCTTAGATTCGGCTTATCAAGGTTTTGCCAGCGGTGATCCAGGGAAAGATGCTTGGGCTGTGCGTTATTTTGTGGATCGTGGCTTTGAGCTGTTCGTTGCACAATCCTTTGCCAAGAACTTTGGTCTTTATTGTAAGTGGAGTTGCAAATTAGGTTTTTTGAAAATCATTTATTAATTTTTTAAACTTTTTTTCTAAGGTGAGCGTGTTGGTAACTTGACAGTGGTGCAACGTAATGCTGCTTCTTCGGAAGCTGTTGCTTCCCAATTCACTCTGTTGGTGCGTGGCATGTACTCAAATCCACCAGCCTTTGGCAGTCGTATTGTCGCAACAATTTTGAACACCCCGGAATTGCGTAAGGAATGGTGAGTAGATTTTGAGGACTTCGGTGTTCTTTTGAAGTAAAATTGCATTGAACATCTTGGAAACCGATAGCGGAGACAGACTCTTTGATCACATCTGCCAATAACTGCTCGATCTTAGCACCTGGTCAGCCGAGGGATTACCTCTCGGCCTTTCCCACTTCAATTCTACACATCTAAACTCTCGCTATGAAAACCACCCATTTTTACAAGCTGAACGAAAGTCAAAGTTGGTGATATAAAGCCGGGTGTGATATTAGTTAGCGTAGAACCGGCTGTTTAGCTTTTATATCCAGAAATTTCTCCTCCACCGGAAGGAGACGCACTGATCTTATATGCCGATGATCGCTCGATATTGTCGTCTGACCAGAATATTGATGACCTATGTTCAAGAGCGAACTATCTCCTGGACCTTTCACACTTCTTTACTACTAAAAAATGAAGACTACATCCAGCTGGACGAAGGAGGTCAAGCTTAAATTCGATGTGAGAGTCGATGGCGTAAAAATTTCGATTATAAACGACCCAAAGTTAATATGAAAATACTGAGAAACATGGTTGGCAACGATACGCAGATGATGAACCTAAAAGCCTGCAAAAACTCCGCCATCAGGACGGTTCTGATGTCTTCTGTTGGATACTAACGTAAGGAACACCTCAACAGACACTTACTAGAAGCTAAACCATCACTCAGGCCCAGCATGAAGAGAGTACTTGACCTAAAGGACTGCATTCAGAACCACTTACAGCAACCGGTGGGCAGGACGACTTACCGAGAGGCATTAAAAGCCGTTCACTGGCAGATACTCCTCCCTGAACTCTCTTTCTCACTGACAGAGTGCCGCGTAATACAGGCACAACTTAGATCTGGATATTGTAGTAGACTGAACTTCTACTTATCCAGAGTTGACTATGAGTCCAACTCATGTAGACCTCCTTTCCCTCTGGTTCAAAGCCGTCGAAACCGTTCGTTTCCTGGACATACCGTTAGATGACTTCGATGACTTAGACTGATCTAGCCTGCTCCCAAGCATCCTATCTCGAATTGATCTTGACATTGGGTATATGGTTTACATATAAATGAGTACCCGCATGACGTCCATTTTTTTATGCCACCTTGAGCTGTCTCATCTAACACCGTTCACCCTATGGTCCGAAGCCATCCTTGGCAACCCGTAAGATAATCTCGATGTCATTCAGGGCTAGATAATTTAATATTTCGACGACTATTATAAAAAAATATGTTTTCATATACCTAACATTACTGGAAACCTCGTTTACTGGTCCCTAATCATAATATTTTTCATAACGATTAAATTTTTTTTATATTTTTCTTAACAGGATGGAATGCATTGAAACGATGTCTGGACGCATCATCAAAATGCGCAAAGCTCTCTTCGAACGTCTTACAGAACTGCAAACCCCCGGCACTTGGGATCACATTGTTTCCCAAATCGGCATGTTCTCCTACACAGGCTTGAATGGTAAGTTGAGACACTTTTGAGAGTACATTTTGTAAAATCCCATTCTTATTTCCTCCGCGCTCTTTTTTCCGCAGAGAAACAAGTACGCGTGCTCATCGATGAATTCCATATTTATTTGCTGAAATCCGGACGCATCAATATGTGTGGTCTCAATGAGAATAATGTCGATTATGTTGCACAAGCCATACACACGGCTGTAACAAAAGCTTAAAATAATATGGTATATAACAAAAATTTGATACAAGCATTTACAAATGCATTACAAAAGCAAACAAGAAGTGACAAGAATTATAGAAACTGCGAAGATAGTTGGTGACTTAGTAAATTTATTGTTTGCAAACAAAATGGCAATATTTAAAGGCTTTCAAACGTGTACACATAAATCTTATTAGGGAATGTTTATACGTTATATAAGTATATACAAATATACACATGTATATGCATAAGAGATGCTATAGATATATATATATATATACATATGTACATGAATGCATAGTCAACATGTCCAGTATCAAGCGAATTACAATAATAAAATATATAACTAACAAACCTCCTCTCCCCACTGAGCATACCAAAAGAAAAAAAAACCCTAAGTAATCAGCAGAATTTATTTTGTATTAGTAATGCAGTAAATGCAGAACCGAAAAACAAAGTAAAATACAAATATTTAAAAAACGCCAAAAATAAAACTTTATAGCAAATGTAGTTGAAATGAACAATAATCAAATATGAAATTTATCATATGAAAATAACAAACAACGCTATGTATTTACACAATAAACAAAAAAAAATTAAGATTTAATATTATATATTATATTATTAAAAAATGAAGCGCAAAGAAATTATACTCTACTTTTTAATATTTAGCAAAAAAAAAAAAATAAAATAAATTGTTAAGCGTCTAGCGATCAGGTTCCTCAGTATATGCATGTTGAAATTAAAAGAAGATTAAATAAAAAATTTTTGTGTTTTTAATATATAAAAACGTATTTAAGTCGTTTTTTATAGTTTGGAAAGGGGAATAAAGCAGTAGTAGTTGTTGTTGTTGTTGTCTTAACTGCAAAAATAATCACCAAAGTAGTTTTTGAGAAATGTTGCGGAGGCAACAGTCGCCTCTACGACAGGCATGCCTTACGGTAAATTCTTGTACCCCTAACACGCAGGAAATAAAGTACTTTTTTTTATCGCTAAAAGGAAAGAATTTCTAAAAATAGTTTTATTTTTTAGATAGGAAATCGGAATAGCTGGAATAGGTAGTAGCCCATAACAGTTCTAGAAAAATATATTATTTCAAGTTTTTTATTATTTTATGTATGTGCAAATTGTAGCAGCGAAGAGTATAGCATTATTACAATTTTTTATTTTTATACTATTTTCATTATTAAATATCATAGAAAAAATAAATAAAGAAATATCCGGTTAATGTTAAGGAAACTGAATTGTGCTTAACCAAAAAAATCAAGTTTTATACAAATTTTACACACATAAATAATGCGCTTTGGTAGAGCCATTGTTTAGTGGATCTCTAATTGTACATATGTACATATTATACATACTACTTTTCTCAGCCTCATAATGCTGCTTCACAACTGCTTTGCTAAAAATGTTTCTACTTTTTTTATTTTTTTTGTTAAATTTTTTTTTTATTTTTGTATTTCAATTAATGTTGCCATAATTATTAAGACAGCGGAAGCGCTAAAAGAACAATATTCTTGTATTATGTCTAAAAGCTGCTAATAAAAAAACTTAAAAAAAAAAAACGAAAAATAGAAAGAAAAACAAAAGCGCAGTTCATCCGCCACTTAAAATAAAAAAAGTCCAAGTGAAAAGTTATAAATGTGGAAAACGTCGAAAATGAAGCAGAAAGAATTGAAACTCATGTACCCGTCACCGGTTAGTTAGGCAGTCATAATTATGGCTACGCGCGCGCGCATTTGTTCGCTCCGATGCCACTAATTACCATGTTACCAGAAATGTGTGTATGTATGTGTTGGAGCCCTTCAATGCTCTATGCATGCATTTATTTCTTTATCTACTGTTTTTTTTTTTAGTTTCTTATCTACAAGTTCATTAATCTTTGACTTAATACACTTTTCATTTCTTTATTTCGCTCCAAATTTTTGATTTTGGAAAATTTTCAGTCGGCTTCTTTGCCTCGCTCGTGGCGTACAAAGTGTTTAAGAGACGTTTTCCTTTTTTACTATTTACATTATTATTATTCACTGAAATTTATTTATGCATTGGCTTGTTTACCACAAATTGCTCTGTAATTAGCTGGCGGAAGCTGTTGAAAAAGTTTGTATGTGCATACACGTGTCATGTTTTTGTTTTTAAACCATGGCATTGTATTTGACTTTGCTTCAGTTGGAAAGGCAATATTTTGATATATATTATTTATTACTTGGATAATTCAATGGGCTTAATTAAGTGAAGATCTCATGTAAGTAATTATGATGTTCGACTTAAGCTTTAGATAGACAGTCAGCCATGAGATACACTGTGGCCAGCCGTAAGGAGTTCTGCTAATATTAAAAGGAAAACGTATTTTACTATAATAATTCCGTTCCTCCATTTGGTGAGAGTTTTTAGAGTAAAAGCGTTCGACTTAACCGAAGTATAGGTTAAGCTTCATTTGCGTAACGTGGAGTTTCTTAAAGAGCATCAAATTAGGGTCGAACCAAAAATAAGCAAAACTTTAGTATTTTAATTTAAGCGCTGCTAACGGTAGCTTAGAAGACAAAACTTTCGGGATCAGAAGTTGAAATTAAGTGCCAAATCTTGTATTTCTTCATCATTCGTTTTGCATTCTTAGCTCATATAAGAATCTGAGAGCATTGGTTTAGCAAGCGTGGTTTGTATAACAAGACAGCAATAATTCCGTGTGAATTACATTTGAAAAAGAAAAAAAAAACAATCAAAGTTTCAATATTCAAAATACAAGGTGCCCAAAACTCGACGAATTTCGTTGTTTGTGGTCAAATAATGCTGTAAACCGAAAATCAGGAAAGAAGAAACATTTTCATCGAAGCATTCAAAATAGCATATCATCTCTATTCCAATGAACCAGACTTGACTGATTAAGATAAGGATGAAGGTATGAAATAAGGCCTGTCTAGATATTACGCATGAATCAACTCAGCTGTTGGATTGAACAAACGCAACTTTAAAAAGCAAAAAATTTGAAACCACTGCTACTGCCAAAGTTCCACAAAAACGTGCTCCTGGTGTCGTTCTACCCAAGCTTTCGCCTCCGAAAAACTCAACCGAGGAATAAGGAACTGCTTGGACTAATCTAGTTAATCGATTGGATTTTGATTGGGAAACCAATGTTCAAAATGATGCACCAAAATCGCTCACACAAAATGAAATGGATCACATTTATGAAGAGCAGAAAACTCGTACAGCACAACGTCAACTCCACACCATACCGGAAAAGTCAAGCTGATTTCCAGTAATTTTTATTCATTGACGGTTCAGTGACAAGTTTTGAAGGTACGAGCAAAAACCGATCCATTCCAATTGGATTCTGCATACATATGAAACTTTTGCCAAATATATTGCTATCTGCTGCACCATTCCACATAAAATCGGGAATCGATGGAAAATTGGTTGAAAAGATAGTCAAAGATGTGATAGTCAAAGCTGATGCTAAAAAGTTTTGGTGTCTAGATTCAACTTCTGATCACGAAAAGCTAATTTAGCCGTTTCACTGTGAGTTTGAATTAAAGAATTACTTCGTATGTATTTTTGTACTTCTCAAATAATTCTTTCGTGATGCCTTTTCGTTCGTATTTTCCTTTTAGTGTTTCAGCGTTTCAGGCTTATTTTATAAAAAATGGTAGTTATGAGTATCTTAACAGTTCTTTCAGAGCTTGGCGTAGGCAGAACGGCTAAAAAGGGGTGGGCGAGTAGAGTAGTTGAGAAGAAAGATCATGCTCTGTAGTACTTCTTCAGACATTTCCAGAGTACAGTTAAATTAGGACTTTAAGTCTTAATACCTGAATACACACCACCTCAAGGTTGGCGGTAAGATACAGAGAAATTTCACATATACTCGCAACTCGTCCATGGTTAGGGTCCTCGGACACAGAATAAGCTAGGAGAGGGCAGAGGAACACAGACAAACATCCTGCTAAAAAGCTTCGAAAAGAAGGAAAAAAATATATATTCCTTCTTCTGTGTTTCTAATGGTGGTTATTAGCGTTATAACCTGTGTAAATACTGCACACTCTCTTATGCTTACTCGCTCAAAGTGGATGGACTACTACTCTAACGATTTCTGTCGAAGCTAATAGATGAGGAAAAGTAGGTAGAATTTTACCTTTGACACTGAGTACGATTTAGTGCGGCTCGTGGGGTTGATAAAATGCTTTCTCTGGTTTGAGTATCTCTTTTCGTAGGCCGCAAAAGGTATCACAACGGGCCAGTAGGTCTCAGTATGCTTGATCAGGGGTAAGCGATCAGGCAACGGCGACCACTAACTAAGAAAATATTCATCCTTTTTCAATCTATGTATTCATAATGTTGTGCGCTTCCTAGTTTTAGTCAAAAGACTTGGAAGAGCTAAAGATTTTTTTAATTTTCAAGTGTCTGAGGTAACCAGTAAGAGGAACGTAGGAGTGTAAGAAAAAAGAAAGAAATTAAGAGATACATTAAGCTTCTAAAAGGAGGGTATTAAAGATATTAAGGGACGTTTTAGAGAGCTCGGGATCCAAAAATGCAAAAAAAACTGGGAAAATCCGAGCTCACAAAAATTAGTTAAGCTCATGTGGATTTACATATTAACTACTTCTTGACTCCATCCACGTACTGTAACATCTTCTTGTATAAATTCATAAGCAAATTCTTCTTTCGATAAAAGAAAATATAGCTTTGCAAGTCGGTCCTGCTATTTGGTGCAGAAGCGTGAAAGTTAATAACAACCGATGAGCCGGCATTAGGAACTTTTGAGAAAACGGTTTTGGAAAATATGTATTTATGAACTTGGTTACTTATTTTGTTTGTGCAATTTGGTGAAATGGAAGAAGAGCGAGCAATCATATGATGTGGCAACTTCACCTTCTATAAATTCACCTTGAAAGTGCAAATGAAAATATCAGATGGGTAAGAAGATGACTTGAAGGAAAAACACCGACGTGACGTGATATGGTTGACCAGGGTTAACTGAAGGTAAGAAGAAGAAAATATCTTTATCTGAGATAATAAACTCGTCTAGAGTGGCGCTAAGCCTCTCGGGAGGATATGTGATAAACAGACTACCAGTGTTTCTACCACGACTACCTCGTTCCAAAAGTCACGGCGTGCCACTTCGTACCGCCATTTCCACAAGTGTATAATGGTTCAGACTATGTGTGAAGCCTTGTAACTTGTAATTAAGTGAATCGAAAGCAAAAACAAAAACAGTTAGCCCAAAATAAATCAAAATGTGGTGCATTGAAAAAACTGAAAAAGCAATAATAACAACAAATAATCAACAATTATGTATGACACTTAAGATCGACAACATTTTCGCATTTGACGATCGATTAACAACTCACTTAAACGCTTTTCAACACCATTTAAAGGCTATCAAACAAACAAGCCAACCAAACAACTAACCAACGGTTCCGTCAGCCTGCCAACCACCAGCCACCAGCCACCAGCCACCGGGCAGTCACCCAATCA